GTACACTCTAGTTAACAGCATGTCTTCTAAGAAAATAAAATAAAGGGAGGGGGGTAGTAGTAATCCAACTCTGTAATGTCCACCCAGAATCTTAGAAGGAAAAAAACCAAAGTCATTGAAATAAAGATGATTTAGCAATATTCTGAAGGTCAGCAGTATTTCCATAATACTTGATATGGCACAAGTACAAAGTCCTGAGTGTGCTTATACAAGGCTTGCTGAAAAGAGAGCCACGTGTGAGGCACAAACTAACTTGGAAAATTAAAGAGCCTGGACTTAGTCTTTGCTTTTTGCTCAAAACTTTTAAAACGTTTTATGCTAAGCTTTCATGTTGTTTTCAGAACAGAAACAAGGGTCTTTGAAGAATTGGCCATAGTGTTACTAGTCACCCAACGGGGCCCATGCTTCCCCAGTGAGGTGCTGGACAACTTTATTCAACAAGTGGTGTCTGAATCAGTCATTGAACAAACTGCTCTAAAGGGCCTGTGTCAGGGCATGCTCTCTATATCTTTAATTTGACTTTAATACTGTAGAACCTCAGTCTCCCAATGTTTAGCAGCATTATCATGAAGGATGTGCCTTTGTTCCTATATAAGTATTCTTTATGCAGAAGTATATCTTGAGCAAAGAGTACAAAAAGACAATGGTGTGAAACAAATGAACTCATTAAAAATGTAAGATGGCTGATAGCCCAGGTAGCTGCACATAAAATGTAGCCGGAAGTCAGAATCTTGTAATAAACAAAAGAACAGTCTTATGGGCTGTGTGTTAGAACTGTTTAGTTTTATATTTTCCTAAGGCACAACCAAAGTTCTTTTAGATTTATGTTTTGGCAAGTGCTTTTCTTGCTAGAGGATCATAAATGTAGGTGGAAGTATCTGCCTAAGTGCATGTTGGTATGCTAAGGTAAGGGAATTAGAACTCGGACTAAAACTAAGGCCAGTAGGTGAAGAAAAACAATAACATTAAATTTGTATTAAAGCTACTTACTAAATACTGGAAAAATGACTGAACTGTTTAATACCTTCGCTTAAGAAAAAAACAAGTTTCTTTTTGAAGCTGTAGCTCAGGATTGTATACGGGTTAATGTTACCTGATGTGGTAAAAAACCATCTGAATTTTATAATAATGTATAAGCAGGAAAAAGTCATAAAAGTGCTAAATGGTAAAGAACTACAAATATGATGATATATGAGCAAAGGGGTCAAATCAGGTTTTTAAATCTAGACAGGTGTTATGTTTGTGAAAAGTGATACAATTTCTTATACACTCAAATCCAAATTAGAGCTATCTGCCTTACAAGGAGATTCCGCTGCCATTTTTTTAGCACTTTAATTTTTGGAAGTTCTGTTCTAAGTTCAAGTAAGTTTAGAGCTGTTTTTAACCTTTATACCTATTTCTTTCAAAAAATTAAGGAGCAGGTATTCTAATAAGCTTTACGTAAATAGGATCCTGATCATTTAGCTCTAGTTAACCTAACACATTTCCCTGGGCATAACCATGGCCTCTGAAAACTGGAAAATATTGCATAATTTAAAAAGTCAGAGTATAATAACATTCACTGGTAACTTCAAATAAATTATGCTAGGAAGATGGAATATGGGAAGGCTAGACCACTAATCATGTTTGCCTAGCCATAAAAACAGTAACAACTTAAAGATCTGCAAAGATCAAAGGAAAGAAAACCACCACCTTTAACTCCTGGAGATACAACATTCTACAGGTGTCTTCGTGGGCTTCGTAAAGGCTATAAGATGACCCACCTACTCTGATTGGCTGTGGGCCACACACAGACATGACAGAGCTGGGATGTGACAAGTATAGAACACAGTGGCAGGTCTGAGCTGGCTTATGACACTCTGACTAAGCGCACAGGCAGACAGTGAAGAACTACCATCTTACTGATAGCTTTTTTTTTTTTTTTTTTACCTTAGAAAACCATCCATGAGGTTACTATAACAAAAATATAAATCAAAGCTGATACAGCTAAGTGCTGGCTCACAGCTGGCCATTTGAATATGGGGTTTTGCCAGCCTAGCTGTTTTCATTAATCAAATATTAAGAAAAGTATAATTCACATGCAATCCTTGTCAGAGGAGAGGAAAAAGTTAATTTCCTATGATCAGCATGAACTGTTAGCCTGTTAAGAAAAGCCCAATTTTTCTAGCATTCAAGTATATACATACACATCATGTCTGTTTCTTTTTAAACATGTCAGGGTGAGGGTTAGGAGGAGGACAGATGAGATCAAGACATGAGCTAAATATCCAACAAGCTCCATTTCTCATTCTGCGTGTGGCTGGCAGAGTTAGTCAGAAAGTCACTCCCTTGCTGTGAAGGTCATGCTATATTTAAACATGTAGGTCTTTAAGGATTTCCTTATTCATTTGGCCAGGTCTGTGATAGGTGCTTTGTTTTCTGGGTGGAATAATTCATCAGTATTTCCTGAGAGGCTCAAACAGGATCACTGGCCAGATTCCGAAGATAAACTGTTTGGAAACAAGTTAGAACAAAATGAGAGAAGACAAAATTGTTCCTTGAAAAAATGAAAAAGAACCCATGCGTGAGCTATGACTATAGTGCCTGGTAGGTTTGCTAGTATTGTCCTGGTAGTAGTAGCCTGAGCACAGCACATTTTTTCCAGGCTTGTACCAGATCACAGAAACTATTTTTAATTCATTTATTTAAATATATTAAGCATCTACTAGCATGGAGCTGGACATTTAAATAATCCTTAAAACAAATTTTCAATATAGTTATTAACAGCTCTATTTTATTGTTGAAGAAACTGAGGCTTAAAGAGATCTGCCTAAGGTCAAAGAGCAGTGGATGCAAGATTAAGATTCAGGGGTATCTGGTTCCAAAGCCTGTACTCACTCAACTACCTCCCCACCTCACCCTCTTCTTCCACCTCCATCTCATCCTTCCAACATCCTCCCTCTCCAACACACACAGACACACACACACATTTACCTTCACTTTTGGCCTGCATCTCAGGTAAAGCGTTCTTGTATATATACTGAAAGAAAAGAGGAAGGAAAGCTCTTCAGATTGACTTTTAATCCATGCACACTGCTTACTGACAAATTTAACCATAGTGTTTCCCTATATACAAGAACGAACAACACTGGTATATCCTTTATTCTTTTAGCAACCATATTTTTGAGCACCTACTCTGTCCAGAACACTTGGCAAGATGCTAAGACAGAGAAATGATCAACTCAGACTGTGACCTCAGGATGTTTGTAGTTTAGTAGGGAGCATTCCACTCATGCTCGATGTGATTTATATCACAATTGCCAGTTTCATTTCTGAAGATACACTGTAGTAAAGATTAAAGTAGAGTGTTTTTAGAATGCTTTGGAAATTATTATATCAGCTCTACAGGATTACAATACAGGTATGAAATAACCAAGACGGTAACAGATTCTTCTTAGTATCCTTTAAAATGAATCACCTCTGAAGATATCATATTCTAAAATTAGTGCATGCAGCAAAAGTAAAGTAAAATTTATCCCTGAATTCATTAAGCTATCCATAACATACAGCATACATAGTTTTATGTATAGTACACTATTAAATTTGTATGTTAATATACAGTGTATCATGTACACATGCAAAATAAAATTTTATAGTATGAACAATTTTCTCTTTTAAGCAAGGGAAGAAAAGGTGAACGAGCATGTATAGTTGAATTTGTATAATTTAATGTGGCTATGATGCCACTCTACCCAAAACCAGAACTGTAAAGAGGAGCATCAAGTATTATGAAGAATATTCTACTGTCTTAAAATATAACCTCATCTGACAGTTTTTCAGATATTAATCTCTAATACAAAGTTGCCACCTTTTCCTTTCTCTTTAGGAAAGAATCCTGGACTAGGGCAGAGAAGCCCTGTATTCCAACCCTTGCTGTTACCTCCACCACTCCCGACTGTTTATTATGCACCTACAATGGTGGGGAAGCACTGGACCCAGAGCTTTATACACATTTCATTCTTAAACTACACCTTACTAGGTAGGTATTATTATTCCTGTTTTGCATTTGAGAAATGGTCTCAGAAAGTTCAAATGTTCCATTCAAGGTGCCACAGCTATTTAATGCAAGAAGCAGAATTCGAATTCAGGTTCTAATTGTTAGCCAAAATATACTGTACTCTAACCAGTGACTTTGAGCAACTCACTTCTCTCTGGGCCCAGTTTCCTTTACCATCAAATGAAGATGATATATTAGGTGATTTCCAGGGACTACTAGATTGGTTTGGGGAGACAGAAAACTCTGGGCTCAACTCCAGGCGATAACACTAAGATCATGTGTGAGGTACTTGACTTCTCTGAGCTTGTCTTTTCTCAAGGAAAATAATACCTGCCTTATAGAACTGCCCTGAAGATTAAAGGAGGTAATAGATATCAAATGCCTAGTCTGAATGAGATTATAAGCTTAAAATTCACACTTTTTATTATGAAAAATTTCAAACATAAACAAAAGTACCTATCACATAAAATGTTAAAAATATCTTATCTTCTCTTATGTGCAGAATCTATAGTGATGTCTCCTCTAAAAACTCTCCTAAATCACCTCAGTACAACCCTTCCAACCAGAAAATCAACATTAATACAATACTACCATCCAAGTCAAGACTTCATTCAAATTTTGCTGACTGTCTCAACAATTTCTTTTTTCTTTCTGATGCAGGTTACTAACCAGAAATAGGCATTACATTTAGCTTTCATGTAATGTCTTAACAGTTTATTTTCTAAGTTTTTCAAGTGTTTCTTTGTCTCTTATGTACTCGACAGTCTTAAAGAGTACAGGACTTTCAATCTGTAGAAGAACCTTCAACCTGGGTCCATCACTGCTTCCTCACGACGAGACCCAGGCCATGCATTTTTGGCAAGAACACCACAGAAATGATGCTTAGCTCATCTCAGTGCATTACATCAGGAGACATACTATACTGACCTGCTCCATCATGGGCAATGTTTAAACTTAGATGCATAGTTAAGTTGGTTGCTGACAGTTTTCTACACTGTAAAGTCGCCATTTACCCCTTGTATTGGTGTGTCATGGGAAGACATTCTGAAGTAAACCAATATGTGTTTCTCATTAAACTTCCACCTATCAGCCAGAGCATCCATTGGTAACGAAAGCCTATCGACTACCCCTACGATGGCTGCCAAATGCTGATTGTTTCCATTACTTGGTATTCTTCTGTAAGAAACAGTTTTTGCTTCTCCTCATTTATTTATTCATTTATTTATATTAGTATGCACTCACAGATTCTGCTTTTATTCAATAGGTTGTTAAAATTCTTGCTATTTAATTTTGATACTCAAATTATCATAGGGTATAGAACTAGGTAATATATGTATGTGCAAACATATGTATACATATAATTTATACAACACAATCATCTTTTTCTATTTCTGAGTGTGTACATATGTATATACATGTGTGTCACACACCCTTGAGTTCGTACCAATACTTTGTTATCCTCAAGATATCTACTTTCTGTTTAATCAATTCATTTATTTCCCAGCTCAAGCCACCATCTCCATCTATCCCCTCCACGCCCCTTCCCCTCATCACTCTGCTTCTTTGCCCTGCACAGTAGCCCCTTCCCCAAGACAGCCAGATTTTCTTAGAAGCTCAGCATGCTGCTACCACTGACCCCACTTCTTCATTCTCTATTCCCCTCGGCACTGACCCCTCTTCCTCGTTCCCTATTCCTTAGACATTGAATGCTACCACCTTATACAGCACTTCCTCCCCCTCAGTGCCCTTCTTGAAGGGTTTCCACACCAGGAGAGAAGAAGAAAGTGAAAGGAAGATGGAAAAGGGAAGGAGAAAGTGGGATACCCTAGCCTTTTAAAATAGAATATAAGTATAACTTCGAGTATTAGAGATATTCATTACTGTATTATATTACACTGAGATATTGTTCTTGGGGCTTCCTGGGCAGTGTTAAGGTCCTACATTTTTAATTCTTGGGTTAGCTTTATAATTATTCTTGTTTCTCTTTTTCTATTATTTATCAATTTCCCCAAGCATTTTCTCCCATATCCCTTCCCTTTTAAATTAGATATTTCCCATATGCTATGGGCTGAGAATCCAAATAATCAATGTAGTAAGAAGGTGCAAAAAGTAAATATACTTAGAGTCAGAGTTTAATAACCTTGAACTTTTCACAGCATGAATTCAGTGATTCTTATTTAGCTGCCCAGAAGTTCTTTTTATATAATTCTCAGGTAGTTAAATTTTAGATAATTCAGGTTGCCTAAACAAGTTCATCTCCAGATAGGTGAGCTACAAATGTTATTTTGGGGAGGTAGTCTAAAAATTTCACTTAAGTAAATTTTCACAATGGTTCAAAGGAAAATTTTCTTCCCCTTTCTACAAATACGTCAGCTCTCTCAATTCTTTTTTTCTCTTTAATTTATTATTATTATTTTTAAAAAGATTATTGGGGTGACATTAATAAAATCAAATGTTTCAAGTGTACAATTCAAAAGTACGTTATATATATATGGCATTATGTGTTCACTACCCAAAGTTAGACTTCTACTCTCTCAATTCTTGAGAAGAATTTGAGAATAAACATAGCCTGATCCCCTGGTAAAGAGATCAATATGTACACATTCATTAAGTAAATCATTTAACAATATATACTGAGTGTGTACTATGTGACATTGTTCTAAGCATTTGGGAGAGTAGCAGTGAATAAGATAAAGTCCCAGCTACTCTTAAGGAACTTATAGTCTAGTTGGGAGCGGTAAACAAATAAATAAGTATATAACTGGTTATAAATGCTTTGAAGAAAAATAAGGCCTGATAAGGGGGGAGGGAGTGATCCATTTGAATAGGGTGATCAGAAAGAATTCTGATTTAATTTTTGCTATTAATGGCTGACCTCCAACAGATTCTTTACTAGGGAAGCAGGGGAAGGGTGGCAACAGATTTGACAGGGGACG